GTGAGCCACCGTGCCCGGCCAAGACACTTGATAGAATTGCTTAAGTGCTTCCCATGTGCCAGAGCCATGAAAAGTAAATGAAGAAAATAAAGAAAAAGACGACTCAATTATTTTGATGACTTTGAGATCTGACCATGGAGGACGTGTGAAACGTGGTAACCAGCGATTTAAGCCATGTGTTGCTGGATCCCAGAGTAATATAATTTATTGATTTCTCGGGGAAATGAGAAGGTTCTGAGAGTGATATTTAACATCCACCACACTCACATGAAATTCTCCCAATCACAGACTGATCTGCTCATTGAATTATAGATATAGAGTTCAAAAACACTCAATAGAGGAAATGATATTCAAGTTGTGTCTTAAATATTGAGTAAGATTTCAATAGCACAGGAAAGGATGGACTTACAGAAGGAAGAACAATAGCAGCAAATTCAGACATTTGTAAAACTGGAGGACACGGGCTGAGAACTAGGACTGTGTCTACCCAAGCAAAGAGGGGTGGTTTGGAACCAAATGCCTGACGGGCTTGGATGCTTTGGAGTCATTGACAATTTTTTAGAATTTATCAAAACAGTTCGATACTCTGTTTATAAGGGAGAGTTCTAGAACTTCCAGGATGAAATTTTTGAAACACAACAAGGAGGGAGAGATAAGGAAATGAGTTCTCACTGTAACTGAAACCTTTCATCACGGCACAGAAAAAGACATCTCTATCTTCGGAACACACTTCTATCCCAGAAAATATTTCATTTTATATATATAGCAATGTAAGTGATTAGGATGCCATTTAAATCAGAAAGGAAATAATTACTTTTTATGTAAATTTTGTTAAGAAAAGTAGGCAATCCTTTGGTGAAACAGGAAACTCCATCTTCTTTCATATCATACACTTAAACGAATCACACGGTGATTCAAAAGAACAATGAAAGCATCTGAAATGAATATAGAGATGCACTTATTGGGAATCAGGCTAAGAAATGTCTTTATGATCATACTGGAGGAAAAAAAAAAAAAAGCCACAAATGAAAAGACTGATATACCTTGTCAGATGAAGGTTTTTTTTTTTCTTCCTAAACTACTTTATAAATGTTGAAACTGGGGGAGCAGTTCACTCATAACAGAAGCGATATCATTAATTCACAGAGAGTACTTAAATAAAAGATGACAATGAAATGCAATAGGCAATAAGACAGCATATTTAGTCTGTCAAATTGGGAAAATGAGACAGGATATTTTGTCCATCAAACTGGGAAAATATTAAAGAAAGTGATTGTGTCTAGTTTTGATATGCTAAAATTAGAAGCGTAAGTTCAATGGAGGACAAGGGGGTAACTTCCCTAAAAGCTAAAGAATCCTAGGCAAGCATTGCAAATATTTTTTATTATTATTATCTCTACGTATCTCTACGTCTGTAGTGACAGAGAACTATCCATGATATATGACCTGTGGGCAAGAAATGATTACGAAATATTATGATGCCATTTGGGAGAATGGGATTTTTAAGAAATCATATTTACTCACATAAACCAGGGATTAAGTAAGAATTTATTATTATTATTATTATTTTACCATTCTTTACATGTAATGTGAACTACTTTTGAAATAAACATTTCAAAAGGCTCTGCGGCGCCCGAAACTTCAACTCAGGAACACCTTGCACGCCACCTCCTGCCGCCTCGCAGTGGGCGGGACTCGAGGTGCACGCGCATTTACGTCACCATCGCACCTAGGAGCGGACTGCGCCGCGGAGGGTTCTGGGAAAGGTAGTCCCACACGTCGAGTCGACCACTTCCGTTTCCGTTGGGCGGGCCATCTTGGTTGCTTCTTAGGCAGTGGTGAGGCGTGTTAGAGGCGTGCGTGTCCATGTGGGTGTAGTGTCCGGCCACGGGATTTAGGATTAGCTCTGTAGAACCAACGTGAAGGGACAACGTGCGGCGGAGTGTCGAAGCCCACGAATTTCCATGAGCTCGGCCTGGTGAGGCAGGGGTGTGAGGAGGCGCATGTATCGAACTTTCTGAGCGCCTGGGCGGGGTGGGCTTGGGTCGGCAGCCCTCGCAGTCCAGGCTTGGAAAAGCAGTTTGAGGCCAGCTCTGGCTTTGAGATGAGATCTGCAGTGCGAGAGCGTCCACTGCGGGCAGTGGCGGATCGATGACATAAATTTTCTCAGGGTAGCCGCCCACCCACTTGTGGAGTAATTTCAGAGTTTTCTGCGAAGTCATTTCTGTAAACAGAAAGTTGATTCCCTGTGTTCTGGTTTTATCCTTTGAAATGTATTAAGGGCTGTGCAAGTCCTAAGAGTTGGTTTGCTGTATCGTTGCTGGCTGTGCTTTTCGTAGCCGCCTAAGCACGCACAGGCAGAATTTCACTATCGGTGTCAGACAGCTCTGAATTCAAATCTTGAGGTTTTGTCTTGATTCTCTTTGTCTCCTGAAAGGGGCAGTGAGAGTAGGCTTGTAGACGGCTGCTTTGGAATGGCGTGGACCTTTTACTCTGAGTCCTGTAGGAAAAGAGGTTCTTT